TGAAAACTGCATAGGAGGAATGAGACATCAAATGGAAGGACCTGTCGTCGTAACAGACAACGCGTCAAACATGACCATGGCAGCACAGCTGGCCGGCATGTTGCGTGTAAAATGCTTCGTGCATGCCATCAGTTTACCTGTGTGCGACCAGTTTTCACAGCAAAATGTTCACAATGCTGTCTGTCGCACTGTCAGTTACTAACAGTTTACCGCATATTAGAGCACTGTGTTCCAGTTTTGTTTACTTGATGCATTTTAATTTTGTTTACTTGCTTTAGTTTTATTAATTATTTCATTTATATGTGACTTTAGTGGCATATTCATTTTGGTTCAGTGTTTAATAACAATATGCATTTAATGCAGTTCAGTGAGTTCTCTGTTCAATAACACTGTGCAGTTCTAATGAATTGAAATAGATAGAAAATAAATTGGAATTGGAATTTTAATTCGTCTGCTGACTTTATCAATACACACTATTGCAATATATCACAATATTAATTGTATCGCAATATATTGTATCGTGACCCATGTATGGTGATATGTATCATATCGTGAGGCCCTTGCCAATACACAGCCCTAATCTGATACAGACACACACACACACGTGTGATGATGCAGATGCACATATATCTGATGTTGTGGTTCTCCTTCAGGTCCTGTAGTAAGTGTGTGTTCTGTGTTGTCAGGTGTGTGTGTGATCCGGCACAGATGAAGCATGTGTTTGGTCAGGACTGTTGCGGGCTGAACTCCTGACCCATACAGAAGGTCAGTTTCTCTCTCTCCATCATTCCTGATCCTCCTCCTGTTTAATCCTCCTCATTTGAGCACGTCTCTTGATGATGTTCAGCTGTAATTAGAATTTTATTTTGCATGTCATGAAGTATTACCAGCTGCCACAATGGGTTCAATATTAGGAGATCATGCTTTACTCAGGAGAGAGACGCTTCTCTCTGGCCATGGCTGAAGATAGACTAGACGGAGAGATTAAATGTAAATCAGGGTTGATCATATGCTCCTGATATGAAATAAACCGTATGCTCTCCCTGCTCTATTGCATTACAATTAAAATAAAAATGATTTGGAGTTTGAAAGTGATGCATGTAAATAACAATAGATGTACAGATTTTGAGTGTGTTTTTTTGCAGAATGTCTGTAGGTCACACACACACACACACACACACACACACAGTGAGCATGACTCTTTAACACTGTAATCCATCGCCTTCAGTCTGAACAGGCCTCTGGGAGACCAGCCTTCAGCAGAGCGGCTTAATGAGGTCTGGAGGAGCACAGATGCAGAAACACGTCACAAACACCTCACTGCTGGAGTTAAAGAGTGCTTTCAGATGTGCATTTGTATTTTATTATTGGATGTTTGACGTAATCTCGACTGAATCATGAAGAGTGGGCGGGGCTTATAGTAGCTCCTCTTTTAAAGACAGCCAATAGTGTTTGTTGTTTCTCACAGCTCTGCTAGTGAAAGTGGATAAGCTCACGCATGTTAAATGAGGAGGGGGCGGGGCTTGTCAGACAGTAAAGAGTATGAGATTGGTCAGAAGATTTAATGAGATGCTGAAGTATGAGGAGATCTCAAAATAATCCTTGATTAACTTAGGCGGAAGTGGCGACTGCAAACTTTGGATGTTTACGTCCTCTAAATGTGAGTTTTGTCTGTGATTATAGACTAACATAATGAATACTGATACATCTGAAGAACTTGATTTGAATTTCTCTTATTTTACTGATGATGCTTTAAATTCAGATTTACATCACAGATATATAGTAAACCTCACTGCGTTCTTACCAGTGGTGGAAAGAGTTCTGAAGAATCATACTGGAGTAGGAGTACCATTACTTGCCTAATAATGCAGTGCAGTAGAGTAAGAGTAGCTGCTGTGAATATTACTCAGAGTATGAGTAAACACTAGCCCTTTCATAAGTGCCCAATAGTAGTGAGGATTACGCTGTATAAAGCTGACGTGTTTACATGTAATTTGTGCATGTGTGTGTAAACGTCACATTCTGTAGTGCATTTAGTTATTGTCCAGCAGACACACAACATCATTAGACATTAATGTTAGGTTGGATTTAAGTTGTGATGTCAGGTGACCAAAATTCAGTGTCTGGCCAGCGTCTAAGGACAACGTTATTTTGATGTCCAATGACTGCGTCAAATGATGTTAATATTTGGTTGATTTTAGGTTGTGTAATAAACTGAGCAATATCTAACATCTTAACCCAGCGTCATACTGACGTCAAATATTACAAATATACATATCATCAGGTATGGCAACCAAAATTCAACATCTGATAGTAGTGGTAACGTCACGTTGTCACATCATTAGACGTTGATATTTGGTTGGTTTTAAGTTAGACATTAAAGTCGTTGGCCTGACGTTGGGTTCTGATGTCAACACAATTTTTTTTTATTTCCTAAAACAAAATGCAGCGTCCCCACGTCACCGGGGTACAACTTCAGTCTGACGTCATGTTGATGTCTTGTGCATACCTAAAGCCTAGTTCACACTACAGGATTTTAAACATCAGCAGATCGCTGTGCCGTTCACACTACATGACTTAACTTTGTGTCTTTTAATCTCTGTGGTGTTCACACTACGCAACACTCTGTGAACGATCCACAAGAGGGGGGTCACACACTACATGATCTGACAACAACTCATTCCCCATCAGCTCATTCAAGCTACCAAACCACAGCCAATGAAAATTTGAGGGAGGAGTCGTCAGAAAACGCTGAACACTATTGGCTGCTTGTGTGCTGATGACATCACTGACAGCGTTTCAAGGATTTGAGAAAGCATTTAAAAACATCGTCAAATCAGCTGATTTATGAGCGCATTAATCACTCATCTGCAGGTTCCAGTGGATAGATACACAGAGAGTTTTTAATTTTTGTAATTTTATAACTCTTTGAAATAAAACTAACATATCTATAACACCCTGCCGTTTTCTAACTATCAGTGTATTTCTTTCTGACATTGTTATTTATTTTTATTTATTACAAAACAGTAAAGAACTGAGCATTTCTGCCTTAAATTACCATATTAGTCAAAATGACTGCATGCATGTCTGATACTTTTCACTGTGACTTTAAATATGTGTGCATTTCCTTGCCTGGCAACTTCCTGCTAACATAAACAAAACTTTCTGATGGCAAAAACATCAATTTACTTCAGATATCTTTCAAAACAGCATATTCTGTGCTGTGAAATAGCTCCTGTTTGAAAGTGAAAATGAAAGCCAAGACCTTTAAGTGTTTTAGTATCTTAACTACATATTTATAGGCTGTATTAACAAAAAAAGATGATATTTTTAGGGTAATGGGGG